AAAGATCCTAATGATTATCAAGCACTTGCACAGGTGTGACCGCTTGAAATGTTAACTCGCACACTCTCAGTATATGGTCACATATGCCACCATTTTAGTCGCGGTCTGGAGCCCTATATTATCCTGCTGTCCTGCTGAGGTAAAGAGCTGGACGAGAAGATTTTTTTCCATTTAAATGAAACTGAAACTGAAATTATTTTCTTAGGTAACCTGAGCACTCAGGTCAAAAATCTAGATTTGTCTCTTAAATTTGACAACGAAATAAATGGAGTGGTCGCGGGGGGGGGGTTTCCCAGCTTAGGGACAGTGTAAAGCTTAAATCTGTTCTAACAAGAAAAGACCTCAAGACAGTCGTCCATGCCTTTATTTCCTCTTGCCTGGATTTCGCTAATTCCCTGTCCATAGCTAGTCCTCAGACGTCTTTCTCCCGTCTTCTGCTGGTGCAAAACTCCGCAGCCGGTCCCCTGACTGGCACCAGGAACAGAGAGCAGATTACTACTGTACAGGCCTCACTGCATTAGCTGCCAATTATATAGAGGCGATTTGAAAGTCTTCCTAATTCTTTTTAAGGCATCGTATGGTCAGGCTCCTTCGTAAATTGTTGATATGCTCCACATTATTCCTAGTGCTCGCCCAGTTGAATCTGCTGGCTCCTTGTCCTAAATCGAAGACTGAACCACAGCCGGCTGTTGCTGCTCCTAGACTGTGGAGTAACCTGCCCGCTCACGTTAGCTCATCCCCCTCCGCTAAGATTTCTAAGACTTGTTTAAATACATATTTTTATTCGTTGGCTGTTGGTCATTTAATGGCACTTAATTTGTGTTTATTTTCCATTTGCTGTTTTAAACATTTTATTTATTTATTTTTTATTTTGTTGTATATTCTTCCTTACCCTGTACAGCACTTTGGCTGATAAACATACTATATAAATAAAACAGACCTTGGCCTTATGCCATTACTCTTGTTCAGAAGTGTTCTGTGGTTTACGGTCCACATGATGCATTCCTAATAGCTTCATGCAAATTGTTTTTTTTTTTAAATAACCATCCTCTTTGAAATCAAAAGTGGTGGTCCCCCCCACCCCCCCCCCCCCCCAAAAAAAAAAAAAAAAAAAAAACATATTCTTAAACTCAGTTTCCAGTGAATCAGAACAGCCAGATGATGGTCAGCTTCCTGGGATTTCCACGAAACTATGAGAACTAAATCCACACGATGTGACATGACACTGCTGTTTTTAAACCAGACTTGTGTAATCGACAGCTACCCGAGCTTACAACACAGGATAATTTTAAGTGCTTATGTTGCTAAAATGACATACAGGTACTATTGTACTGTGCAATAGTCTAAGACAGTCAAAGGAAATGCTTAAGGCTATTTATCTGAGCAGTGAGCATATATTTGCAAAGAAAAAACACACACACACAATGTAACATTAGAATATATGCAAATTAATAACACAATCAAACAGTTACAAGAATTTCTTGTTTCTCCAAAAAAAAAATCACTGACATCATGTTGGACGGTGAGAAGAACAAAGACTTGGTTCCCAAACCTCTCCTCAGGGGCATCCTAGCCATTCCAGGTATGCGTCAAATTTCACCTCCAGCTTAATTAATTAAGCAGTGATGTATTGATTAGCCAAACATGGAATGCTAGTGGATGAATTAACAGATATCTGGCAAATACTGGATGATTATCGCAAATACTGGGGTGACTTTAGGAGGGGCTCTGAAATTGATAAGCTGACACACTTTGACACACTACCATAGTTTTACACTAAAATGAACATCATTTAAGAATCACTTTCTTTGATTGTCTGACACTTTTGCACAGTACTGTTCCATCCATCCATTATCATAAATGCTGAATCCCAACTGGGGTTGCGGGGGGCCTGGAGCCTATCCCGTGAGCAACGCGCACAGGCGGGAACCAACACACCACAGGGCATACACATTCACACAACTACAGGGGCAATTTAGACACGCCAATCAACCTATCCTGCACGCTTTTGGACCGTGGGAGGAAACCGGACCCCCGGCAAAAACCCACACGAACACGGGTGCGAACTCCACACAGAAAGGACCCAGGATCGAACCCAGAACCTTCTTGCTGTGAGGCAGCAGCGCTAACCACTGCACCACCATGCTGCCCTACAGTACTGTCCATTACCTATTAATAATTTAATTACCATTTCTATAATTTGGGAGACGTAAGGCTGGGGTATACCCTGGATGGGATACTAATTCACAAAAAATCAAACAATTATTTATTATTTATTTAATACTTGTAGCTAAAAATGTAACAGATAATTAATAATAAGTTTATAAACAATACTTGCTCCTACGGATGAAAACCTAGTGCAGAGTGCTACACGGACGGAAAATCACTATCAGCCTACTAAAGAATGAGTTTGGACCCAGTTATTTCTTATATATATGACTGTGCAGCACTGTTGACCAACCAATAGTATTAATTATCTGAGAAGGTTCTTAAAAAGACTCATTTAACACATAATTAATAGAAAGTTAAACATTCCGTGAGCTCCGGGCCATTCCTTAACAGGCCTTGTCAATGACGTTAAGAGAAACACATTTAAGAAATAAATTCCACAAAGAACTATGGCTTCCCTTAGACATATCTACACCAGTTTAACAGTCATTACCAACGTTCTTATCTTCTTAATTGCACAAACTGAAAGCCCTGTGGTCAGTAGGTGAGACACCACAGAAGCACACAAACTCGATGTCTGCCGAGTGCAACTCTTTGAGCATGTAAATGCCTGCCTGTCTCTTTTATTTTGAAGGATTCTGGCTGTCAGGCCGGGGGTATTTTTAGGGCACTGCCAGGAAACGTGGAGCAGCGTTTTGGTGAGATTACAGAGACGAATGCTGCCTTAGAAGCAAATCACACTTCCTCCTCCGAAAAAAAAAAATGCACACTGAAATCTCCGGAGGCCAACGGCAGTAGCCTCCGGTCCGGCGTGGGTCAAAGCCTTCCCAAGTGTTTGGAAGTTCTCCTCGGTACCAAAATCTGAGTACAGTTACTCTTTCTGGAATGATCAGATAGCAAGCCAACCTGGCAACGAAGCCATTGCAAACAACACAAGCCACTATGAGCCTGCGGCTTAATAGCTTCAAAATGTCACAAACCACATGTCGCCGAGCTCTTGGGGAAGCTATGCATCCTTCTAACACCCCTTCCTCTCTGCGGTTGCGAACTGATACTGGAGCATGTTCTGACCCATTTTCGGCTACAAATACCTTGTAACAGTGGACCTCGGTTCTGGTGCAGTAAAAATGTTAAACACTTCCCCAGTTTGACACACGGCTGCATTTGGTCCCCGGGGGAGAGTTTAATGTCTTATCTTCTTAGAGTAGATGACATATCCCAGAATGCACCATTTTTTTTTACACTTGTTATGGTCCAATGGGTGGGCCTGGGTGGAACTGGGAATGATGAAGCAGGTAAAATCGCCCTGGACACAGTATCGATCCCCGGACCCATCACAACTGGGGGCCCACTGAAAAATTTACAAAGACACACTCCTTGTTTTGAGCACAATACATACATACATACATACATCCATTTTCATTACTTGCTTGTCCTGTACAGGGTGGTGTGGATCTAGAGCCCATCCAAGCAAAACAAGGCATAATCTAGCACAGGGCGCTAACCCATCGCAGACAACACATCCCATCCAGTCATCTTCTCTACCCGCTTGTCCTATGCAGGGTCGCAAGGGTCTGTAGCCTGAAGCTATGGGCGCTAACCCATCGCAGACAACACATATAATTCAATAACAGCATGCAAGGTGTCTCGGTACTCCGATCATGCTTCCGATCGTGCTGAGTGTCTAACTAAGTTTAAGCTCATTTCGAAAGGCAATATTCATCCATCTATTATTTACAAAACTACTTATACAGAATACTCTTGTGGTTTAGTGGATTTATTTAATTCACGTTTATTAAACCGACAATCCGCCGGTAATGATTTGCACACTTCGTGAGGACGGCTTCATATTCTGTTAAGGATAGAAACAGGGCTGTGGCCTGTTTAGGGTGATACTAAAATCTGGTCAAAGGTCTCGGGATTTCACCGGTGCAGCAGTGAAATATGATATATTTCTACTAGGTGTTAAGTGAGTGCAGAGTAAATTTCATTATGTGCCCCTTTTGCATTTTGGCTAAACAGAAGACCCAGGTTAGAGGTCCAGCTCAGAGCGGGAAATGTGCTAATATTAAAACAAAACGGAATCCATTATAATGTGATTCGTATTTTTATTCCGATAGAAAGATAATAATATAAAAGTAATATTAAACTTGAACTATTGGGTGACACGTAGATATTTAATGTAGGCTAATTTTAAATAATATTATTACATCAACTTGTGTATTTCTTGGTGATGCCCTTGATGGTCGGTATATTTATTTGGGTACCGTGTGTTTAGGCGGGCGGCGGGTTCAGTGTTGGTTTGGTTCAGGCCGATGTTGTAATCATTCCTACGCCCTTGAATCGTTATATGAAGCGTCACATCAGGCAGGTGCATTTTCATTCATTAGGGTATTAAGAATCTCCTGTAGGGGTTTGGGTCTGCACCCATATTCTAGGTGTTTTAAAATCCCATGACACTCATTGCCTCTGAAAACATTAATGTATCCGAAGTCAATAGCCGGTCTTAGACAGAAAAAAGAGTCACACAGTATCAAAAGCGTTTAGACGTGTTAGAATGATGTTCGAGTCACAGTTAAAGTGCCGGGTTACAGGAGAAGAAAGTAACATTATTAACTTAAGTGGCATGTACTGATAAACCAATGACATAAACAAAGAGATGTAATGCAATAATTCAAAAAAGGAACGATCGTGTACCACGAAACAGGTCAAGACCATTGCTACTGTAGGTACAGCTGATATCGATGTGGGTGTAACCAGAGTAAAGTGCCATTAACTTACGAAAAGGAAACAAGAATTATAAAAAACTGAAAACTTAACGCGTCTCTCACCCATCAAAGACGGTCAGAATGCTTCCCCAGCTGTTTCCCGTTGTTTCCAGGCTGTTTTTCGTTATATCCCGCTATTAAAAGTGCAATCGGAGAGGTCTGGGGCGATCTAGCACCTTACAGAAAGAGGAACTCTACAGTCAACTTTCTGCCGAGTTGCCGCTGCCATACTTCCTGATACTCCGTCCAGTCTCGTAATTTACTTAGCATAACAGCACCTCTTATGAAGACTTTCTCACAGTGTTTGCACTAATAGCCTAATTCACAGGTTGCTGCTGAGAGATCGCAGCCCACGTCGGCTCTGTAGTCAGGAGACGCCCTGGGACTCCGTGAAAGTGACGGCTTTTCCTGTCCAGTATATCTCATCTGTCGGGGGAAGGAGGGGGGTTAGATTAAGGATCTATGTTTCAAAGTCCATGTAAGATACAAAGTTCTGCATTTAAGTCACTATAGATCAATTTCTTTAATAGGCCTATCTGACTACACACTGTCATTTGCATATAATAATTATTAAATTTTACTTAATCGTCTCGTAATTTGTTTCGAAGTTTTTGTTCATGTACGACATAGCCTATAGTCGTGTGGTTTTGGTGGTGGTGCGCTTGGCAATGATGAGCTTTTTGTGAGTAATTTATTTTTAAATTCTTGCGCTTTCCCTCGCGTGTGTTCTTTATAATTTCTGAACAGAAGCAGATTTTTGAAAAATAGTGCACATGTGCAGCTTGAGCTCTGTAATGACGCTCAAAACAGAGGGGGGAAACACATTTTCAATATACCGTTACGTTTCGTGCCATTTATAGAACCGGGTGCTTTTGCTATAGTCATTTATATGAAGACGAAATGAGATCTGAAGACTACAATCTTGGACACCATCAATTCTGAGACAATGAACAATGTTTAAGCGACGAAAGGCGAACTAATTTTTAGAAGCCAGTTCCTTTGAAAGTTTTAACATTTTCGGGTTTTCAGGCTATAAGCATTGACTGAAATATTCTCAGTCCGACCGAAATAACATTAGTATACAGGAACCTGCCCCCTTTCCCCAAACGATTGAAAGCGCCCCCTTTTGAGCTCCTGAGTGGTTTTTCTCGATCACGTTTTACCGAAAGGGACCCCTGGTCGGCATTGGATTGATGGGGGACCTCCCGTCGGAAGGTTTTACCAAAGGGGCCCCCAGCCGCCCCCACCCGCCCCTCGGTGTCTTTGCACTGCCCTTTTAGTAGATTTAAAGGTGTTACGTAAGGATAGACCCGGATCCCCACAACCCGGCATAAGACAAGCCGGTATAAAACATGGATGGATGGATGGATGGATGGATGTATGATTGCAAAAGTACAAAAACCTTCTTTGCTTTTGCATTTATCAGCCCTTGAATTAATTAGGAGAGCGTGAGTCTGACAGGACAGGACAAGTGTGAATAAGAAATTTACAGGATGTTTCTATGTTTTAGTAATAAGGCAGCTGATAGCTGTGATGATATAGTGCTGTTATGATATTAATCATAACTTAGGTGTAATACCGGAATTGTTACATCACCTTTTACTGTACTGCAGTGTACTGTTGCCTGGTATGAATCCACCATTCTCTGGCGCTTCAAACTATTTACTCCATCCTCTTACCCCGGGGCTAGTGTGCGGCTCTGCACCCACATCAGGAAGGTTGTGGGTTCGAATTCCATGGACAGCAGAATAATCAAGGAGCCTGTACAGTATGCCAAAGTTTAACTCTCACCCCTGTCTGAGTGTCGCAGAGGAGAGAGTAAGACGGAATAAATGAAGATCAACGAGATTTAATATACCTGTACTCATACAAATGGCCAATGAACGTATCTTAAGTAAAATTCATAAGGCCTAGCTGTTACTTACAGTAACTCTGCACTGTCATGTCTGTCCAACAGTAAGCAAACCTAGTAATTTGCTGAGGATCTTTCCTGAGTCCATATAAAACAAAGTGGCAAAAGGATTTGGTCCATTGAACATTTCTGAACAGCTATAAACACAGACAGGAAGTCATCACCCGCATGAAAACAAAATGATGACCTGTAAAGCGGGAGCTTGTGGACCCAGCTGGCACCTTGTTTTGAGGCCATGCTTTTCTTTTCTGTTCCGAAAGAGGAACTGAAGTGTACGAAGACCAGACACCATAAAGACACGGAAGAGGTGCTAGTTTACAACCTGTGCTCGGAGAAACACGATTCTGCTTTACCTGAAGTCAACACTCTAGTGAACCAGGTACTGGTAACTCCTATTGGAGCCTGAAGTACTGTGTTTAAGAGCTATTTAGCCATTCTTCTTTACTGGTGTTTCGCAACAGATGTCCCCTGTACGTCATCAAAAGGCCTCGTTCCGAAATGTTTGAAAGCTTTTCTCAGAAAGCCCCTTCGGTTTAAACTGGCTGATTTTATTCATAAAGCCATAACAGCATGATTCACCCAGTCTGAAATGTAACTCAAATGCAGAAATGAAGAAGTTAAATGCATAGTTAGCAGGAAAGAAGGTATGGCCTTTTAGATGCCTTATATCCTACATCTTTGCACTGCGAACACCGAGGGGTGTCAGCCGGAGAGAAAATCAGGCGGGTTGTGGGGCAGCTGTTGGGATTTTGAAGGACCCACCGATGAGCCTCACCTCCTTCTGGCTCTCATTTTAGCCAGAAGCAATGTAAGCAGATGTGTTCTCAGAAATGCTTTCAGAGTAAACTTTCATCAGTAGATTATACATTATACAAGATGCCGTTGATCTTTTCGGCATGGGTCAGTATTGGAGAATCGGCTCCCCTGGGCTGTGAATTAGCTTCGGTTTGGAGGTGACGCTTTCAGAAAATCCCACAAAAAAAAACTGCGATGTCGTCATGGAAAGAGGAGATGTCGCACCGCCCTTGGTAACAGGCAGGGGGTGCTGACCACAGCGCTGCATTTTGTATCACGTGACTTTGGGCAGTCCGTCCAAGCAGCTCTGAGAGATCTGTCAGGTCCCTGCCAGGGTGGGGGTGGGGGCTGGCATCCAGCTATGTATTTGGTCGTGCCGGGCTCTGCCCCCACCTGCAGGGGGCGCCAGGGCTGCGGTGCTTCACCAGCCTGGATAGAAGCTTTGTGTCATATTTATTTTCGTGCTGGAGATGAAACAGGAAAAGAAAGATAAATATAGAGTGGGCATTTCCTGTTTGCAGTTTGAAGCTGGTGAGTACCCAAAGAAAGACAGTAATCAATGACCCAGAAACAAAAAGATGATCATTTAACCCTTGCCAAAGAAAAGCATTTAAATCCAACAGATGGCTGCTGTAAAGCTGGATGTAAACGGTACTCAACTCATAATAAAAGCCTGTTGAAAGTCTAAGAATGTCAGGGAATTAACTGATCATGTGCAGGAGATCATCTGTAGTTATAAATAATCCAGTATTATCAAGTCAGTAAATGTGGTATTCTGTGAAAAGGCTTAATAAAAATATGCATAGAAAATAGCTTGTCTCTTAGGACAAGTGATGCTGTGGTTTTTCTTTGTCGCGATACCTTTCAGGTGTATACCCCCAAAGAAGACAATGTGGTTGAGTATTGATGACAGGAAGCAGACAGTAGCAAGAGGGCACAGATACTTCCTGTCACATGACTGGGTGCGTATCGCTGTCTCTCAGGTGAATATTTGAGGGAATCCTGTGTGACATCAGCCCCCCTCCTCCTCACTGATCAGTAAGTACTGAGATGTTCACCATTCATCAGTCTGGAATTTTAACTGTTTTTTTTTTCTTAAATGGAGTATTTGATTATTTTAACGTGCTTTAAGTGGTATTCACTCTTCCACCTGTAGCCAGAGTCAGTCATAATGTGGCCACTAAGTGCCTGTTTTGAGTTTCGATGTAGTTACAGCATTTACTGCTATAATTTCCCAGTGCAGCCACTAGAGGGCAGTAGGCACATGAGTTTGCTGAGGCCTCTGCGCAGGTATTGGGGCCTGTTTCACATGACAGCTCCTTGGCCGCGCCCCCTGCCCGCCCCACCTCCCTGTCACACCTCAGGGAATTACATCACCCTCCTCGAGCCCATCAGCATTGCTGTCAGTGAGAGACACAGAGTGTGGAGGACCTTGTTCACGGTCTGCCGACCCCAGTGTCACGGAGAGAGAGGCCAATGGCCCCGGCCTGCTATTTTAAACCACCCGTGGGTCATCACCCGCGGCTGGTCAGGCCTCTAGCCGCAGGGATCACTCGCTAACGGGCAGCCTCGATGGTAGGCTGACCCCATCACCATTCAGCTAGACCCACCCCCACCACCCCCGCTGTCTCATTCTCTGGTACGTGCCGCGGATCGCCCCCGCGTAGCTAGGCAACCGGAGGCTCCCTTTCAAGTAACTGATAAGGGCCTCTGGCCAGAGCCGTGCTCGTCGACATTGCTCATCTGTTCCTCTAGAGGGCAGCGTCGGGTCCAGAGGTTGGGGTGAAGGACACCTGTCGCCGGCGGACGTGGGGTCGGGTGGGTGCGCCATGGGACCGTGTCAGACGGATGCCATTCGGAGGGCGGTGGGGGGT